CTTGTATGCCATTTAGAGGAAAGCAGTACGAATAGGTGATACAGAAGACAACAAACCATAAGATAAGGAACGAACTAAAAAAAAGCTCATTTATGGGTGTTTACTTTTGAACACAAATTACACCTACTAAAATTTTCTTTGTCATTTTCTACCTCCAATAGAAATTAACTGTATTTGGAACAAGATTTGCTGCAGTTTGATTATGACACTGAAATTAGTGATTAAATGTATGCGGCGGATAATCATTTTAAAAATCCCATTGGATAAGAGAAGATCTCTTGCACTATAAGTAAGCTGTTGTAATTAGAATAATAACAAACAATAAATAAAATATTTTGGGTCTGTACTATTTAGCTAAACAACTCAGGATGACCATTTATTTGACCACACGAATATTCACTAGGATATATTAAATAAGTCGTCAATACTTGCTCTCTGAAAAAAACAGAAATTAAAGCAACTTTTGAGAAATTCTGCTCTCAGCAGTGCTTCTGTTTATATAAAAGAAGTAATTTTTAAAGATAAAAGAACGACTATCATCACTACTTGCTTTGTTAATGGTTGAAAACACTTCTAATGGAGAAGGAAACTGTCAAGAAAGAGCTAGAAGTAGATCGGATTTGCAAAGTTTTAAATAGCAAATCTGCAATCACTTGAAACAAAGAATTTAGTCCGTTAGCCTCTACTCGCGTCATTTAAAATTTCCAGCGTTCCGTGAGAAATCTAAGCTTTAACCTTGAACTCGGCTCCTTTATCACTAATTACAAGAAAAGAAAGTTGGTTTAAAGCGTTGAATTAAGTAATCATTTATAAACTGTTACAAATAAGAAGAGAAAGATAAACTTTTTTGTTAACTTCCCTTCTTTTTTCATCGTTTTTCCTCTTATTTTTAAAGTTTCCTGGCATTTAAGAGTCTAACAAAACTGCTAGATATTCTTTTATAAGCTTCCAAATTTTTATGTTCTTTGTTCTCATTTTTAAATAAAATCCTTAAAAGGTTGGATAAACCAGCATTTGACAAAACCTTTTTGGATAAGGTGGTAACTTCATTCTTAGTTGTCCTCTTTAGATGAAAGGTGATAAAAGAAACATTTTATCTTTTTTGTGGCTCATAATAAAAAGACGTCTTTTAATAAACCACACTGTAAAACCATAAAATTGGTTTTAAAAGTTGCGTTTGATCCCGCTTTATCCAGCCCAGCTTTTTTAACAGCAAATACTAAACTCAGAAAACACTATCTTCTGGATTGGATAACAAAAAAATGTCTCTCAAAGTGCACCAATTTTTTTAGCTATTGAGACAACTTGGCTCTCCGTTCCCTAAACGGCCGCGATGGATGGGGAATGCATTACGAGAAAAACAACACCGGCCCAACTCCCACTGAGCTGTTTTACATTATGTGCACAACTGACCATGTTACTTTATTCATAAATTACAAAAAAAGTTGATTCAAAGCATCAAATTAAGTAATCATCCATAAATTATTGAAGATGAAGAAAACAGACTTTTGTTGGTTCCTTGCCTTTTTTCTCCAAGTTTTCCCTTCTATTATTAAATTTCTCTGAAATCAAAATGTATGAAGGCACTTCCACATCTTTGAGCTCTCCGCTCTCACACTTCGAAATCAGTTTCTACGACAGTTGAACAAATTCAAGTTTGCAAAAACTTTTTCAAAACTTCTGACTAAATTTATGTTTGCTTGTCGTTTTCAACCTAAAGAAAATAAAAAAAATTAGATTCGCAGATGATAAACTTGGAGCATTGAAAAAACAAGTCAACCTGTACTCCTGTAACAGGTCCAGTAATTTTCAAATTACTTCATTTCCTGAAAAAAAAAAGGCATAACAATCTTTCAAACTCAGCATTCAACATATAGCCTCCGAAACACAATAATAAACGACTTTTCGAATTCAGTTTAATGATCCGAAGACTGCCAACACCTCTTAAAATTATTGGAAAACCTTGCTCATGTTGCAAAGTTACAATACAAAGAGAAATATAATGATACTTAAAGCTGTTAATCACAATATATCCTTCAAAAAATAAACACATTACAAAAAGGAAAAGACTGACGGGAATGAGATCAGCCAGTGAAGTTTGAAAAGGCAGAAAACTCCGCCTACAATCACCGTTAGTAGGCAGAACACGAAAAGGCACATAAACTTTTCGAATAAAAACTAAAAACTTCATCATAACCTAGTCGTCCTCATCTAGCTTGTTCCTCTTTACTATAGGGAAGTAATCAGCAAGCCCCTGACTTTCATTAATAACAGTCTTCTCGACGCTTTCTGCATCCTAAATCAAGCAGTAAAAAGAAAAAGGCCACTATCAAATAAATTCATATAAAATAAGTAAAAAGCTCAGCAGATTTTCAATACTTGACTCAAACAGGCTCTGATCTCAAACTAAAATAACATTTCTCATTACATAATCCATTCGTGAATTTTCAAAGACAGTAACACGAAATTAAGAATAAAATCGCATACCTACCTGCATGACAAATCTTAACGAAAGTACACTTTTAAACTACGTAAAAAGCATAAACCTAAAGGAACCAAAAAGCGAATCCTGCCCCCTCATAAGTTTTAGAAGCCCATACAAACATGCTCAACAGCATTCACAGCATGAAAAAACTAAATTCTAACGCTTCCAGAAGTAAAAATACCACCAACCTATTTTCGTCGGACTCAAAAATTTTACTAATTGTACCTAACAAAACTTCATAATATTTAGAGTGAAAGCTAAAAAAGTTGAAACAAAAAATATTACACTGGTAAAAGCGACTGGAAAGATAAAGCTGAGTAAAAAAACATTTGTGTATTAATCTTCAAGCTTTCCTCACCCTTCCAGCAATAATCAAATTAATTTCTTGTCAGACGCGCTATCATTCAGTAATGCCAACACATTCTAGAAAACAATACTAAAGGCAAACAGGGAGACCAGAGTTAAAAATTCAAAATGCAAATTTGAAATGAAAAATGCAATTTGTTTACCTCTTCAGAAATATTGAAAAAACTAGTACTATTCAAAAAAAGTCCTAATCTAAGAAAAACAAATAATTTTTTATTTTATTTACAAATCAAATGGTAAACTCCTTCATTAAAATGAAGACAGATTTTTCTTCAAAGATATTAAATTTTGCTTCCTAACTAGATTAAATAGCTTCAAAAATAGAAGAGGAAACGTTAAAATTTATAACTATCATGATTGGAAAAATCCCACAAAAAAAATTTTTTCTCTATAGGAATGAAAAATTTCCATTTCAAGAAAAAAATAATTTACCTCAAAGTTTGTGTATTTCTTCGAAAATCAACTTTTGTCTGTGAAAAAAGTCTAAAGTTTGAGACGAATTCAGTGTCTAAATCAAGAAGTGTAAATACATAATTACGTAAGGCAATACAAGACGAAGAAGTTTCAGCAAGTATACAAAACATACCCTATAAGAATCCGCCGAAAGCTTGCAAGAACCAAGTATATCCAACTTTTTTTGAATTAAAGGCCACATAATATCATCAGCAGTCCCTCTCGCAATTAGATATTGAACAAAAACTGAGTCTGTTTGGCCCACGCGATGAGCTCGGTCTTCAGCTTGCTTTAATGTCTAAAAGGACTGTAACACACAGAGACGATTAAGCAAATAATCCAGATAAACTAGTCAAGAATTTCAATTGGAAAATCTTTCAAAGAATATCTTGAGGATCAGTTAGGAAATTACTTGAGCCTCCCAATATGCAAAAGGAAATCACCGGAACAACAACTGTAATACACAACTATCTCATGTAAAACAAAAAAGAAAGTGATTAATAATTGTAATTAATAATTTTAAATGGTCTAATATAGTTCTCGCATTACCCCTGGATTCCAATGTAGTTCAGCAAATACAACGACCGTCGCCGCGGTTAGCGTAACGCCTACACCGGCCGCTGTAAGTGAAAGGATAGCAACCCTAACATCCTCATTGTTTTGAAAAAGCTGACACTGCTCATCCCTCAGTTTGCTCGACGTAGTTCCGTCTATACGTATCGACCTCAAGCCCTTAAAATAACATAATTTCAACCAGACTAAATAACCCATCAATTATTTCTAAACGATTGCACCTTCTTCGTCACACTCATCGAAAGTGTGTCCAAAACAACTTGATGGTGAGCGAATACAAGTACTTTTCGACGAGGAGCTCCGTCGTAGAAAAAATTACTAATAACATGCTTCGCAACACTATTGGCCTTTGCAATTCCTGTTTCATAGTAATACTCCACAAGACACTGATGTCGAGCTTCGTTGTCCTAAGCATTATAGTAACAAGCCTACTAATACGAAACTGAAGTTCAACGCAGTCAAGGAGCACATAGGTCCACACCAATCTGCTCCGCAAAAAAGATTAATAAAACTAAAATTAATAGCTTACTGCAGCTTGTTTGTAAGCAGCTTTAGCCTTCCTTAAATTATCCAAATTTGTGTGAACAGAAGAATCACTGAGTAAAACCACTTCTTGGCGCTTCTCCGGTAAGTCTCCCAAAACATCCTTTTTCAACCGTCTAAACAGAGAAGCAGAAAGCATCACCAACATAAACCAAAGGAAAAAAACTGTTGCCACAACGTAGTAAACTATATCCTCTCCATAATCCATTCAGCACACTATACATAACTTTCTGTCAAAGATGTCATTGTCCTATCCAAATTTTTTAAAGAACAAGTGAGTAGTCAATCCTCACACAATAATTTGAACTTCCTCCTTTCTCATCAAATAAGGATGAATACAGATTTGAAAGAAATATAACGAGATAGAGCAATATAGCCAAACAGAGAAAGCCAAAAATATACCTTAACATTATGTTGTTTTGTAGTATAATAGCTAGTTCCTCACTTCTCGTGCACCCTTTCGCCTCAAAACTGAAACGGCCTTGTTTCCCATCACAATAACGAATAGCAAAGTCTCGGAAATTGGGAAATAACTTTGAATCAATGATACGCAACTGGCTGTATAGCTCAGAAGGACGTGAAAGTGCAGGAGTTCCAGTTAAGAGGATTGTGCGGAGAGCTTTCCGCTGTAAAATAGTGCTTCTCACTCCACAAAGAAATCGGAGTTTCTCTTAATAACTTCTTAGCAGACAAAACAACTTACCGCGACTTCTGTAGCTGCCTTTGTTCGTTGTGCTATTCCATCTTTCAGTAAATGCGATTCATCCTTAAAAGCAATCAAATTATCATGCAAATGAACGAGGGATTGAAAACCTTTGAGGAAATTAAGGTGATAGCAAACTGAATGACTAGAAATACACAACAGTAAACCAGCATTCAAGAAGAAACGTACAAATATTATTGCTTGAAAGCAATATTCAATCAAGTGCTCCTTTTTCGCAACCATCAAATCGTAACTCATAATGACAACCGTCTTTGACGTCTTCTCACAAGGCAGTTGATCACTCCCTTTTTCTATTACTAATATGGTACTGACAGACGGAAGAAATCTTTTTATTTGCTGAAAAAAACATCTAACCTACTTTAAAATGCGTTGACATGGAGTCTATTTATAGTTTTCCTCACACTCACTGAAAAAAATTAAGACTTCATTCAAACAATAAAAAACACTTGTTAAAAAACGACCAACTAGGTCTTACCTCCACCCAAATATACTTTACTGAAGAAGGACAGACTATGAGTAAAGGCCAATCTGACTTAAAAAACCGAGCTATGCCAAGAGCCTGAATTGACTTTCCTAAACCCATTTCATCGGCCAAAAGTAGACGTCCTCTCCTCTGAATCCCAAAACTAAACTTAAGCGAACAGTACATAAATTAGAAAAATGAGAATTGTTATAAACACAGGTTTAAGAAAAAGAATCAAAACTGTAACTGCAAAAGCAGAATACTGAGATGCAGAACCAACCTTTTAGAATAATGAAGCTATCACAAAAAATTTATAGAAAATATGACTCCGAATGCAAGATAATGTGGGTTTTTCTCAGCTGAAATAGAAGAGATAGATTCAAACAACATACATTACACCTTTACGCTGATACGGAAACAACGAGTTCAAGAGCGTTCCGTCAACACCGCCTTCTAAAGTTGGCTGCTTTTGGAAAGCATTCTGGTGTAAATTTTCCAGCCACTAAACAAAATATATAAACTAACTGATTAAGATAGTCTCAAGCACTACTTAAAGAATAAACTAAGCAAAAAAACTAAAGTAAACTGAAAGTAAAACCTCGACAATGTTGTGCGGTAACGAATCTAAGGAAACATTGACAGCATCTAACTTATACAATTTATTTTCCACTGCCCTTATATCTCGTAAAGGGTAAAACCACTCTCGTTTTTTTGAATCGAAACTCCCGGACGGAATATCTTTTAAAAGCGTCACAACATCAGAGTGAAAAGGTGTGAAATGAACCTAGAAATGATTTAATTGTGATAACCTTACTTTAACAAAACTCGTTGATGACAGTAAAAATGAACATATTTTCGCCAGCAGAAAAGGAGCAGAATGAAAAAGTAGTACAACTGTAAAATGGTATTCGCAAAAATTTTATTTTAGAAGAGTAAAAGCAGATTTTAAATACTCACATAAAAGTTCCTCGAGTCCCTGAGACTTATAGTCACTTTAATATCTTTTTTTGTATTGAAGCTATCCAACGGAGCGTAACTGACTATAGCTTGAGGTTTATACGAATAACTCGAATTTGTCCTTACCGATAAAGACAGCTGATCATTTCTCGGTGTTTCTACTGGACGATTCGAAATTGGGTTTGCTAAAGTCTGTGCCGGTGTTCTATGAGGTAAATCAGAAGGGGCTTTATTACTAAGCAATTTCTGAACCAAAGCTGACTGTACAGGCCCTGGATTACCAGATATTACAGCTGTCACTTGGAGTGGTCGAGAAGACGTGCTCGGTTCCGAACCGTTGAAACCCGCAGAAACACTAGGCTGAGTTTTTGCTAAAGCTGCAGCTCTTCGTCTCTGAGCTTCCGCTCTGTTTCGAGCTATCCGTTGACGCTGTTCTTCCGTTAAATGCATCTGCAAAACAAGCCACTTTGAGAATTTAAAACAACTCGCAAGCGGTTTTTCATACAGTTCGTAATTGTTTGAGACAATATCAGTTTCGAAATAATGGAAATTATTAGCACGGAGAGGACCACAGAGTAAATCTACATGCCCCTTGATTTCTGAGACGAATCCAAAAAAAAGAAAAAAAACTAGTTAGAATATGAACTTGAACTGCTTCATACGATCAGCGTCTTCAATCTATAAACGTCATCAACAAAATGACACCAGAATAATAAAAACCAAAAAATTTATGCAGTTTTTTTGCATTAGCAAAGTCCTTATACGGAAGGAAAAAGCGCAACAAGAATTAACACACAAACCGGTACGTTGTTCGTCTGAGTCTTAACATGCAAATGTACTTTAGTGATTTCCGCACGTGACAATTTCATCAAACCTCTCCCTCGCCAAGTACGAACAAGTTTACAAAAGTCAGAGATAAACAGATATTTTCAGGCACTTTACACACGCACAAAAAGCTCATATAAAAATTCGCACATTGTCGAACGACCACCAGTCTAAAGAAGCTGCTAGTCGTATGGCCATTTTGTTGCAGCTTGTAAGACAGCCAAGAAACCTACTTTGCAAACAACGACTGATTTAGCAAAAACAGTACCAAGCTAAAATATATGTTGCCTCAAACGGATAATTTGAAAAAAAAAATCTGTTGTTCCTATATGGCACGTACAGTTTCCTATTCAACACATTGTTCTTCTACTGTACAAAAGAATTATATACATATTTTTAAGTTTTAACAAAATGAAAGCACTGTTCCACACAGTATACATGACAGTTCTGTAAATTTGTGCTCCAAGTAGCGGCTTCTTGAAAAGTATTGTAAAGATGAGGAATTTAGAATAAGCAGTAAGTTTCCTGAAATCTTTGTTTTGGCAGACAAACGACCATAATTTAGCGCCAAACACCTCATACTTCGTTGCTCAAACAATCGTATTTCGTTAACCAAAATTGACTGCGGCCAGTGAATCGCTAGCCGGATGATGTCAGATACTAGGCAGAATACTAACCGCCACACCTACAGTGATATTTTCCCTCCTCAAAACACTATAACACTATTTTGATGACACTCTACAATCAACAGAAATACAGCAAATCAGACTGCTTTGAAAACTTTAAAACTTCTGTAGCGCGGAATTCAATGCACATTTTGCAAGAAAGAAATCAGACACATACGCAGTACTAATCAAAAAAAAATTTTTTTACCCAACCTCCCATCTCTCGACTATCCGCAAAGGTTCTTTTGTGATACTCTCAACAAAAAGAAACTTGCACAAACTAGTTAAATTCTAAATCACCGCAGCCACTGTTTCACTAAATACCAACATTTTGCCTTTAAATTCAACGTGGTTGGAACTAATCTTAATTTGCGACAAGCTGTCTTTCCAAAAATTTATACATTTATTGTATTATATATATATATATATATATATATATATATATA